GCCTTACGGTTGAGGGTTGCGGGGATACCCTAAATTCGGTTCTTTAATAGGCTCCGAAGTTCTTTTCCGTTACGCAAAGATGACATGCATCTTTGCGCAGGTTCCTTACCCCTCCCTCCTGCCAGGCCCTTCAGAAAGGCTGCAGGACAAACTCGCATCATTACGCATTAGAAAGTTAATCTCAGATCTCTTTTGAAACATCGCAGTGTATGGAGGAGTCTGCACCAAGGTACTGAGAGAAAGAACGAACATCAGATTATCATCAAATTCAAGGGCCATGATGGGGCTGGCGGAGTTCAGAGCGCTTCGCTGCCGCCTTCGTTCAAGCACAATCGCTTGGACACTACATGAGCAAAGCATGTTGCAAGCAGAGCACATTGTCCAGCATGCTATTCTGAAACCCTAAACCCTAAACCCTAAACCCTAAACCCTAAACCCTAAACCCTAAACCCTAAACCCTAAAGACTATGATGGGAGAAGTCGAACGCACGCTCTGGCCCACTTCGGCACATCATGTAAAGCAGTGTGGACATGCGCATGCGTATATGACCGCTGAACACGTATTCAACTAGAGTGGTCACAGTATTCGACCCCAAAGATGTGATTGAACAGCAGATTACAGCTTTTTGAATGCTTTTCGTTTAGTCACCCAGCGTCGAAAGCAGACTTCCTTTCACGAAGTATAATCATGAAACGAAAGACAACCACACTTGATCTGCACAGTTCCACTAGTAACCACTAGTACTGGATAGGAAAATGCAAACTGCAGTAGTTTGATGTTCGTTTTCCATGAAGCAGATGCAAACAATCAATATGGTGGTGTTTGTGGCTTTTGGGTTCGCGGCGCCGGGTCCATGGCTCCTATCATGGCTTCGCATCAGCTCCCTTGAAGAAGAGCGGGTGAGAGATGGGCCCATGGTTCCCAACTGCCCCAGTGGCTTTCAACTGGTTGCCTTCGTGGCTTCCACTTGACTCCCTTCGCCGTTCCTTCTTTGCGTGGCGTTCCCTCTTTGAGCGGGATGGATGGGTCGCGTTGCCGGGTCCATGGCTCCTTTCACAGCTTCCAATTGGCTCCTTTCATGTTCCCTCTTGGCGCAGTGGTGAGTCAGTCGCGGCACCGTGCGTACTGGAAAGCTTAACGTGCATCTTGAGGGGGGGGGACATGTGTATATGTACATACTTATATCTATGTATGTATGTATACAGAATTTTACAGATAGACCGTATCTGCATACCGTAGTATATACAAACATATACATACATCCTGTTTTTCTGAGGGCATTAAGAAAGGGTCTGGCCAGGCTTGCTCTTGCCGAGGTCTTCCGTGGCTTCCATGTTGCTGCTCTCTTCAGCAATTACCGTCAGCGTGCAGAACTCAGGTGATCTGATGTGCGTACTTGGAGGTTCATGGTACGTATCAGCAAGTACCATGAACCTCCGATCTCTCAAGATAGTGGTGCGTTGTGGTCCACGAGGCCACCCGTACATCAATACAATACCAGGGTGGTGGTGTCTTTTTTGTGCTGCAGTCCAGGGTCACAAAGCTTAAGTGTTGAATTTCTAAGCCCAGAAGGCCTTGCGAGTTCTTTGCGGACATCACACCGGGGCCTTCCTGGCTTGCTGAGAGTGAGGGCGAGTAAGACCCGAGTTTGCAGAATGTGAAATCAAATTGTATCAAGTTCAAGGGGGTGCTCCGGTACAGATGGCAGGAGCAAGTCCTGGCAGGAAGCATGCTCGGAGCAGCCATGGCGGCAGTTTGGATGAAGCTGGGTGTGGTCAGCAGCCCGGCACTGACGTCACTTCGCATAGGCATGGAAGGCCAGGTCGCGAAGAGTTTAGCACGTTAGCGTGTCCTGCAAGGGCCTGGCACGCCATGGTGCCAGATTCGCTGAGGCCGGGTATCTGGCGGAGAGTGAGAGTGGAGTGAGCCTAGCAAAGTCCCGCCTCGAATTTGGTGCCGTAAGCATGCTCAACCTTGAAAGCGGCTCATTGCCAGATCCTTGCCCCACGTGCCCAAAATCTCTCACAGTAAAGCGAATAATGTGCACACATGTGCATTCCCGTACTTGTTTGTACACGTCAAGACATTTCATGAGGAGAGGACGCTGCGCTTCCAGGAAGCTTTTTCCCTCAGACAGCCCGAGAGTTCATGTGGAGGCAAATCTTGGCTTTATGCCCATGATGCTGACGGCGCGCGAATGTAGCAGCGGTTTTTGTTACCTAGGCATCATACAGGGGGTATGTGTGGACATTACTACCTACTATAGCGGAGAATGCTCCTACTGTCAGGCTTGGGCAGGTTAGGTGCAGCAGGCATAACGTCAGGCATCAGCTACGAGATTCATGTGTTAACATGTTTACGAACAGGAACAGAGAATGGAGAATCAAACGGAGATTTGGACTTCTTGGCATGGTTGTCCAGCTCAGGTGCCACGGGGGGCTGTCTTCACAGCCAGTGCCGATTTAGATTCTTTTGGGGGTTTGCTTCTTGGCCGGGAAATCGGGCTTAGCTTGTCTCTCGGAAGCTAGCCCGTACGAGCTAGCCGAGTTTCTTACCAACCACTAGGTAGAACAACAGGGGTGTGGGGATGGTGGCCAAGCCCTACCTTTTTCAGGTCCCGAACGGTACTTTTCGGCTCAGAACTTGATGCTCAGCCTTGGGGGCGCTTGGGCTAAGCACACCCCGGGGCTCAGAGTCAAACATATGCTGTGTATATTTTTGCTAGACAGCGTCGAAGCCATGTTACTACATCTCCAAGCGCAGCGTCGAAACCATGCACGGGTGAGCTAAGTGCATTTTCAACAGCAGCGTCGCAACCATGTACGGGTGGGTTTAATGCTCAAGGGATTCTCTGGGCATACTGCGGTTGAGCACGCTGGGTTGCACTCCAGGGGCTTCTCTGGGGCAACCTAGGGAATTTCTGGGAACACCCTGCGGTCTGGCACTCCAGGCTGAGCACTCCGAGGATTCCCTGGTGATGCTCTGCACTCTGGGGTTGGGCCCTGCGGGGTTTTGCGGGATGCTCTTAAGCCTGGACACTCCAGGCATTTTCCGGGCAGACTCTGGGTTGGGCACTCGCAAAATTCTTTGGGATACTTTGGGGGCGTTCCAGAAGTGCTCTGATGTCTCGGGGCTGGGCACTCCAGGATTCTGTGGTCCTGGGGTTCTCTGGGGTTGGGCACTCCAGGCAGGTCTCTGGATGCTCTAGGGATTCTCGCTCTGGGCTGGGACTCGGGTGATGGGCGCGGAGTAGCAACGGCAGGTTTCACACTTGCCTGTTCGGCCAATGCTGTTCTCCTAAGTGGCTTCTCCAGCAACTACACTAGCTTTCGTTCCTGCCGTCCCCCACAAGTTCCTGGCATTGCTGATGCAGCACGAGCTGTCACAGCGGGAAGGTGGTGTACATCATCTACGGCGTGGGAGCTGTCCCTCAGACTGCAATGGCCGCATATGGGCCGCACGGCCGTTGCAAGCGGGGCCTGTGTTTCATGTGTTTCCGAGGCTATGGTGGTGAGACAGCAGCTGCGCAAAGACATGCAGTACATGAGGTCGAGTGTAGCAGAGGAGACCAACAAGTCCTTTGACCGATAGTTCAGAACTGGGCGTGCTATCTCAGACCAGATGCCACCTCTTCCGCGTCTGAATAATCAACTTGTTTTTTTTCCTGCCGAATGCGAGCCTGGTTGTGTCTTTGCTGTGCGACGCGCAATACATCGGAGGGTATCCCGGCCACACGGAAACCTTCCTGAGGATGCCTGCCCTCAACAGTCTTTAATGTCTTGCATACTCACTCACCCGATGCCTTACATGGCAGCCGGCGTGCGCCGTTTGCCGAGCCATTTTTTTAAAATGCACTTGTGTCGGATGGAGATTGAGAGCAAGAAAAAACCATTCGTCAGAGGTAGCTCGCACTTTTAAGACATGCCATGCTGTCGTACGTCCTGAGCCACTCGTGGGCACAGGAATGACGCAGCGTCATGAATATGACCTCTGGGGGCTGCGCAGCAGGAGTTTTCGGAAGAATTGATGGAGGCAGCCGTTGCTGTCTTGTTTGTACATATTGCCTGGAGATCCAAGGGTGAGCGCCCCACGCAAATCTTGGTGGCCCAACTAAACTGCCGGTTGAGTCTGTCAGGGCTCCTTTGCTCTGAGACACCCAGTATGTATCCAGAATGCCTCATTGCGAAATATTGCGAATGGCAGTCCGTCCTGGCTTCGATGGAGGCGCCCACCACACTTGGGAGAAGTTTGGTGGTGAAATTCGGTGAGGAGCAGATGAAGGGGCCGCCGTTCCTTCTTCAGTGCAGCCTGTTGCACGTTGTCCATGTAGCACAAGCCTACACAGCATGCAATCGCATCCGTTTGACAGCTGTAGGTGACAACTTTGGAAAACGAGATGCGAAAGGAAAGGAGCGTGACCCCAAAGACTTCCTTGAGAGCCAAAAAAGGCTAATTCTTGAGATTCTTGAGTGAACCTCTCGAGAATCAGGACACAGAAATCCTATGTTGTGTCTGAAAGCAATCAGCAAGCAACTGAAGCAACCAAAAGTATGACTAGGAGTGCGGCAGCGCGCCTGACTCAGCCATTCAATGATGGAATTGACGAAGCTGTGCCTATCAGTTCAGCCGGAGTTCGCGCGTGCAGTACATGAGGTCGAGTGTAACAGAGGAGACCAGCAAGTCTTTCGACCGATAGTTCAGATCTGGGCGTGCTGTCTCAGACCAGACCACATGATGCCACCTCTTCCGCGTCTCTTAATAACAAACTTGCTTTCTTTTACTGCCGAATGCGACCCCGGCTGCGCCTTTGCCGTGCGACGCGCAATACATCGGAGGGTGCCCGAACCACACGGGGACTTTTTCAAGAAAAGGTTCTCTAAGACACAGCTATATGACTATATGTTTGCTGCAGGTTTCCTGGCACTGCAGATGCGTTCTACGGGCGGTGGCCGTCAAGTTTTGGCTCCAAGATTTGGCAGGTACCGCGATGGCCGACTCAATGGTGGGTGCAGAAGTTTCTGAAGACTTGCAAGATGATTCTGACGCCGTCCTGATTGTAGTGTGTACTCTGGCAGGGGAGACAACCAAGATGTCGTGGGCACGCAGCAGCAGAGTTCAGGACTTGCGCAGGGTCACACATTCTGCGTATGCTAGCATGCTGGCATGCTGGTGCACTTTTCATGTCCCGCTGTGTTGAGCAAAGCCCCTGCAGGACCGCATGGCCGAGCTCGCTGCTTTCTATCCGTCGATGGGCCTGCTGAGGCTTCAGGTCCTTGGCGGCGAGACAGTTCCGCCGGATGCTATCGCAGCTGACTTAGAAGGCCACGTCTTGCAGGTGGTTGGGCTCGGGCTACCAAGATGGTTAGAGCAGTCGTGCACTTTTTTGATGACGGCCGATACCGCTCTGATCCCGGGCTTTCGGAAGCTGGGCCAGGTACGACTGGAGTTCATGTGGCCGAACAGTTTCAGGTGCGAGGCCATGGAGATGCTGCTGGATATCACGCATGATGTCGAGGATATTCAGTGTTATTCTGCAAAGTCTGGCACTTTGGAAGTCTGCTACACCACAACGGCAGCAGGGACACAGGAGTGCCTGCAGCTGTCTCCTGGCCATGAGGAAGCCTCTTCCAAGCTCTCCGCCGTTGCAATGGGCATCAGAAGCTGTGAGCCCTGGTGCTTCCAAAGTCCTGGATGTATCCCCACATGGCTCCTCCAGAACTCACCAGGCAAACTTTGGGGATGCTGGCAAGTGTACCGGACAGAGTGTACAACTTCTGCATCAAAATCCCTCTGGGAGCGGCTGGTTGCTCAAAACACGAATTTTAGAGCGAAGAAAAGTCTCAGCCGGCCTGTCTCTTCCATCTGATGGCCGGAATGGGCGGCTTGTGACAGGAGGGTTTTCACCAACCCCAGATCCTGCCAAGTAATCCTGCGCCGAAGTTCAGAAGCTGGTTTCTGCGAAGTTCAGAAGCCGGTTTCTGCTTCGCTCAGGCATGTAAGTGGAAAGCAAGGAGGAACAAACAGAGCAGGCTTTGTGTCCCGGAGATCACATAGCGAAGACTGAGGTAAGAGTGTCCTGCCAGTGCGATTTCGTTTGAGTATGCAAGGGTTCATGTCTTTTCATAGGGGCAGCCTGTTCTGACTTCCACGGCTGGTTTCCTACAAGCACGAGGGCACTTGCATTGTCCTTACTGCAGCACCAAACTCGCTCACCCGGATCGGATCGCCCTGTTTGCTCCCTGCAAGTTTTTAAAGTTCGCTCGGGCAGGCATGATTACAGAATTTACCATGCAGGCCCGGGAGGTTGGGAGGCCCACGCAAGGCAGGCTGCCGGCCAAGAATGACAATCATTCTGCGGTGTACATGCCCGGCACACCCACGCGCCTGATCCAAGGCAGGTTGGCGGCGATAAATTACATTCGATCCGCGCTGTACATCACGTCACGCCTTAAGACATGCCAACCTGTCGTTGTAGCTTCGCTCACGAGTGCGCCCGGGCAGGCGTGATTACAGGTTGAGTATCACGCAGGCCTGGGAAGCACAGGCAAAGCAGCCTGCCAGCAACAAATTATCATCAGATCCAGATCCCAAGTGTGCATTTCCTCATCTATACCAAACTGTTGTACATCCTGTTGCCATTCAAGGGCACAGGCATGACTCAGTGGTATCAAGATGATGTCAGGGGGCTGCGCAGCAGAAGTTTAGAAGCAGCTTGCAACTTGGAGGGATAGGCTGAAGTGTGCGTGCCCTGCCCATGCAAACGAATGATGAGCGTGGCCACCTGTTTGTGCTTTCGGGTGTATCAGGAGATGTCTGATGCCACCGTTCCCAAGTGTGCATCTCCTCAGGTATACCAAACTGTTGTACATCCTGTTGCCACTCAGGCGCACAGGCATGACACAGTGGTGTCAAGATGATCTCAGGGGGGGGGTGCGCAGCAGAAGTTTAGAAGCAGCTTACAACGGGGTGTATCAGGAGCAGACAATGATGCCACCGTTCCCTAGCCCTAGACAGCGGAGCATATTCCCAGACGTCCCAAGCGTTTTCCACGCTGCTTTGGTAGCAAAAGCCTACCAGCCATTCAGCCACAGCAGATTAAGTGCTGTGGTTTACGAATGCAGGCAGCACCGCATCCCTGTCTAGTCGAGGGCTTTGGGGAAGTGCACTCTGAGTTGCGTTTGAGCCCTCATGATCTCAGGGGGCTGCGCGGCTACAGAATGCAGCTTTAGAGTCAGACTGCGGAGCATGTTCCAAGCATTTTCCACGCTGCTTTTGTAGCAAAAGCCTACCAGCGGCGCTTGCCCAACGTGACGGCGGGGGCCTGCTGCTCCAGCCTTGGCCTCAGCGTCTTTGCATCTGATTGTGAGAGAGAGGCGTGCAGTCTGTAGCTGAGGAGCTGAAAGCGTTCTGTGATGTTAGCAGAGCACATGGTGGCGTTCACGACTGGCAGCGCAAGCAGCATCGTTTTTTTAAAGTTGCATCCCTGTATCGTTCACGGGCTTTGGCGATCGCCTAGCTTAACGTGAGACCAGATGTTACTGTACATCTGAGTCGCAAAGAAGAGCCTTTGGTGCAAATCAGGGTCTCCGTCAGTTGCGGCGTCCGCGCCTGGATCCTCTCTCTTGCGCATCGCTGAGTTTGGTGTCTGGGCAGAGATGAGACCTGACAGTCGCTTGCAATTTTGGCCCAAGCGTGTGTTAGCTGTAAAGAACAGCTGCAAAGAACTGCGTGCCTCCGCGTTGTCAGTGCAAACGCAGATGTTTCAGGGAGCGCTCAGCCAGACTGTGAAGACGACACCGTTCCTGGCCATCTGCACGGGCGCCATCGCCTTCGTCAGCTTCCTAAGGCTGTGGCTGGCCAGAGAAAGGGTCCGGCTGCCGCCGGGCAGCTTAGGAGTGCCATTGCTGGGCGAGACTTTGGCGTTCTTGCAGGGTCCAGAGGCATTCATTGAGGCAAGGCTGCGTCGCTATGGTGGGACGTTCAAGACCAACGTGCTCTTCACCCCAACAGTCTTCCTGGCAGTACACGACAAGAATGCCAAGCTGATCCATGGCATCCGCGGCTTGTTCTTGAGAGTTCGTTGTGCTGATGATCGCTTATCCCAAGTGACCCAGTGCATCAAATTTGCTGAGATAGTTATGCTTAAATTCCAACTCTCCGTGTGCGCTCGTGTGGTCATGGTCCCAGAACATGTTTGCAGCTCCAGTGTGAAACAGAGCCGCCAAAGAGCATACAAACAAGTTTCCTGCGCTCCGTGCGGAGGAGACCATGGCTTTCCCGAGTACTTTCAGAAGATTGCGGGCCCGAAGTCTGTAGCCTTCGTCGATTGCGGAAGTGAGCAGTTGTTTAGATTTGGGTACGTTACTTTTTTCCGGTTCTTTGAATACACATTTTCCGTTTCGACCCCCAGCGTCAAGTGTCGTGTACTTTCCTCATTTCTGTGACAAGCTCAAGTTCTTGCCATGCGGGACAGTGAGCTTGCTGCAATTGAAACAGTTAGAAACTACGTCAGGCTAATGGTCCGCAGCACAAGCGCCTCCGGAATATGTGCCTGCGCAGTGTGTCGGACAAGCGACTGGCTGTTTACCTGCCCATCTTGCCGCTTGGATTGCGAGTTGAAGTGGAAGGCACGCGTGCCGTAAATAATGGGCAGTGCTGTTCGGCAACATCCGTTGGGTCGATCGGGGGGGCACTTGAGGGGTGACGGGTTTCACTTGAGTGCGGCCGCCCAAGAAGGGTCTGGAGTCAAGCCGCACTCAAGCTCAGCGGCTCTAGCTGTGGGGCTGTCGGTGTTGGCAGTAAGCACTGCATTCTTCGCGATGAAGTTAGCCATGCATGAAGTGACTCAGGCAGGAGCTGAGCGCCAGGCACCTGGCAAGATGGGCTGAGCAAGGGGCCGCGGAGGCGACGCCGAAGGATATTCACTTTCAGATCAAGAAGTTTGCCTTTCAAAGTGGGCAGGCGGCAGTACTTGGTCCAAGTGTGACGGAGGAAGAGGTAAACCGTCTCATGCACCTCTTCGATCTTGCGATTGCCGGGATTAAGTGCGCGGCACCTGTGAATCTCCCTGGATTCCCATTCCACTCCAGCATGTCGGCTGGGCGACAATTGAAAAAGCATTGTGGGACGTTCGCAGACCGGCGTCGCAGTGCCCTCCAACGATCCGGGATGCCCACCTGCATGTTGGACGCTCTACTCTTGGAAGGCATGAGTGACGCGGAGCTCGCGGACAATTGCGTCACAATGATGCTTGCTGGCCACGACACGACGGCAGCATCCACCCACAGCATCCTCTACCGGCTCAAGCAGCTTCCGAAGCTTGAGACAGAGCTGAGGATGGAAGTCGACAAGATTTGGGATGGCGTGTCTCCCATCACAAGGAGCCATTTGGAGGCGATGCCGCGCACAAGCTCCTTTTTGCAGGAGGTTTGGAGATCGGCGCCGCCAATTTCTTTCATTGCCCGGAAGCTCAAGGAAGACGTGGAAGCTGATGGTTTCGTGGTGCCTAGAGGCCATGTGGTGGTGGGCGATACAGCAAGTATCGTATGTTATTGGCTTCTCTAGGGATCAGTAGGTGAGGGTGGAACCGAATGTGGTGGGCAGTGCGCGTCCTCATATTTCCCAGGCCTCCTAGATAATCAGGCTGCAAAGGCACCTTCAGAACTTCCCCAAACTCTCCCCAGCACAACTGTTTTCTTTGCACTTGGGACTTGTGCCATAGCAGCGGCGATGCAGCTCTGAATCCCTACAGAATCCTACAGACGACGGCGTATCTTGCTTATGCAGTGTGCCATGCCGCGCCTACTGCCACAGGCGAATAAGTGACCACTTTAATAGCCTCTAGTCATCTGCATGTGGCCTGGTTTGCACAGTCATGAAGACATGGGCATTTCGCAAAATAGAGGTACCCCTAAGATACCCCAAAATACTATAATCCTTAGTATAGGAACCCCCAAAAAGCGTACCCCCATTTTTCGGAAACCCCCAGATGGCTCCAGGGAGCTGAACATGTTTATGTTTGTTTTTAATCTCCGTCTTCAGGGCCTCTGGTTCTGCTGCATTGACACAGTCCCTTGTGCTAGTGAATACGAACTGAAGTCTGAAAAGTGAGTGCTTTCGAGACGGTCATCTCATGCAGTGTTAGTCCTGGAACCCAAGCACACTTTTATTTTCTGGGGAAGGCAGGCCGAGCCCACTCTAAAGTTGAATTGCATAGCGTGCTGCCGTACTCTGCACTGAAAGCTAGTCTAGGAGTACTGTCACAACTCGTTCGCTTTGTTGGAGGTCCCTGTGCAGGATGGAACTTGGCCTACTTCCCAGCCGGAGACTTCAGCACAGCTCCAAATCCCAAGACGTTCATGCCAGACCGCTATTTGGACGCAGAAGGGCGGTTTGTCGACAGCACATCGGATGCCACCGCGTTTGAGGTCTTCGGAGGAGGGGCACGTATGTGTATCGGCTACAAGTTTGCAAAGGATGAGCTGCTTGTTTTCCTAATGTGCTTCTTGAAAGGCTATGACCTTGAGATCAAGTCATCGAAGCCCAAAAGTCTACCGTTTCGCTCCTACAGCATAGAAGGCCGGTTCCTGAAGCGCACCTGCCTTTGAAGGGAGGTCGCAAATCCAAGCCCATGTAGTCGGCTTTTGCGGCTGTCATGCACTTTGTGTGTGGCCTGGCCGCTGGAAAGGCAGGGAAAGCGATTAGTGAGATCTCTGTAGCAACCACTTTGCAGCTCGCGCATGCTCGCACGATTGGGTCAGATCCTGCAAGTTTTTAAAGTTCGCTCGGGCAGGCATGATTACAGAATTTATCATGCAGGCCTGGGAGGTTGGGAGGCCCACGCAAGGCAGGCTGCCGGCAAAGAATGACAATCATTCTGCGGTGTACATGCCCTGCATACTCAGATCCGCGGTGTACGTCACCTCACGCCTTCAGACAAGCTGTCGTTGTAGCTTCGCTCACGAGTGCGCCCGGGCAGGCGGGATCTGCAGAGTATCACGCAGGCCTGGGAGGTACAGTCGAAGCAGCCTGCCAGCGATAAATTATCATTAGATCCAGATCCGTGCATTTCCTCATCTATACCAAACTGTTGTACATCCTGTTGCCACAAGGGCACAGGCATGACTCAGTGGTATCAAGATGATGTCAGGGGGCTGCGCAGCAGAAGTTTAGAAGCAGCTTGCAACTTGGAGGGATAGGCTGAAGTGTGCGTGCCCTGCCCATGCAAACGAATGATGAGCGCGGCCACCTGTTTGTGCTTTCGGGTGTATCAGGAGATGTCTGATGCCACCGTTCCCAAGGGTGCATCTCCTCAGGTATACCAAACTGTTGTACATCCTGATGCCACTCAGGCGCACAGGCAGACTCAGTGGTGTCAAGATCTCAGGGGGCTGCGCAGCAGAAGTTTAGAAGCCGCTAACAACAGGGATAGACTGAAGTGTGCGTGCCACGCCCATGCAAACGAACGATGAGCGCGGCCGCCTGTTCCGGCTTTCGGGTGTATCAGGAGCAGACAAATGATGCCACCGTTCCCTAGCCCTAGACAGCGGAGCATATTCCCAGACGTCCCAAGCGTTTTCCACGCTGCTTTGGTAGCAAAAGCCTACCAGCCATTCAGCCACAGCAGATTAAGTGCTGTGGTTTACGAATGCAGGCAGCACCGCATCCCTGTCTAGTCGAGGGCTTTGGGGAAGTGCACTATAGTGCAACGTGAGCACATCTGAGTTGCATTTGGGCCATGATGCGAAATGAGGATCTCTATCTGTGCGCCGTCTGCGCCCAGGTCCCTTCTCTGTTTGGATCGCACCGGTTTCTATCCATTTTCATGTGCACTGCTCAGTTTAGTGTTTGGCTCCAGTCATGCAAAGCAGAGATTTTGCAGATGTTACATATGTCACATGACTGAAGGGGTTCCTGCAGATCTGTGCTAGAGATCTGGATGCCTTGGAACTTCATTCCCTTACAGAGCAGCCCCAGAGTAAGAAAATGCTGATGGAGAGCTGCCGCTCATTTCGGCAAGCACTTGGGAGATGTCTGTGCCTGAGCATCTCAGCTTGAGGCCTAAAAGAACTCTACGCGCCGCCGAATACGTCGGAAGACGGGCGCATGCTTTTCGGTCCAAACTCCAAAACCCTCGCCTGTTCAAGTTCATAAACTCATACGGCAGCCCTGGCATGGTAATTGCGCGGAGGTGCGCCGCAGACATCTGGACTGTGTACGCAGATGAATGAATAAGTCACAGCATGTTACGCGGCTGCTCCCTGTACGGCTCTGTTCCCATTATTGTTAGGACAGCTGCAGTCCTTGGAATTTGGAATTTGGAATTCGTATCGGTGTATATCATGGAATCCTCAAGGAGTGGTGGTCCAAGGGAGGCAATGAACTTCATGGCAGCGGTTTCGTGGTTTTGGGCTGTGCTGCAAGTAACGGCGTCACGGGTAGTGGTAAATGGCAGAGGTTTCGAGCAGTGCCAAATGCAAACGGAAGGTAGAATCACTCGTTCGATCGTCGTCCTTGGTGCTTGGACATCTGTTTTGTAGGGAGAGGGGTGGGATTTCACTATTCTCGAAGTGTATGGGTCTAGAGTAGGGATCCTTCCTGTTATTCGTAGGTGGGTTGGTTGATGAATGCAGTGGGCCAGGCTTCAGCAGCACTTGTCTCCAGGGCTGTGCCATTGGGCAACGAGATTGCTCCCCAAGCCTGGGCGCGTTGACTGTGTCGCTACCCCACTGATGATTTTGCTGCGTCTTGTAGCGCTTTTAATGGCTTTGTTGGTGCAAGCCCCTTTTTCAGTGGAAATCGTTCATTGAGAAATAGTAGGATCCTGTTACAAAAGGACCCCGATAAGGTACACTTAGTATCGGAAACCCCCCTAGCTGTTTCCCAACCTGGCACCATCAGCTCCACCGCAAGCCGTAGAAACCTTCACCCCCAGCATGCAACCACGTAGGAAGGTGAACAATGCAACCACGGCAATTTTCTTTCAAGGTCTGTGAGACCGCAGCAAGAATGAGCGCAACCATGCGCATTCGGCCCCCAAACGCGGGGCTCCAGCATTCATTGTTGGCCAATGGAGAGAAAAGCCCGGTGCTTTTCGATCGATTCGTGTTGAGGACGCCGGAAGTGTATTGGAAGAACTCATAGTGTGTTTGAGTAGTCTGTAGACCCGTCTGGCTGTAGTCTTCGACCCGACTGCGCTGCGACGTGCGTTGTCAGATGCAGTTGGCTGCAGCGTGATTAGGATGATCCTAAAGAGGAGCGACTTTGTTGTGGCCGCTGCGAATGCATGCTGCAGCATTCCTCTAAGCGTGGAAGTGCAGCAGCAACGTCCTGTGTCTGCTACAACTGTTGCAGGGCCATTGGAACATGCCAATGCGCTGCCTCCTGAACCCCGGTCCGTCCCCTGTCTATGCATCATTATGCATCATGCTGCAGCGAACGGCCGCTGCGCAACAGCTCTGGTGCATCTCTGCCCATGGCTTCGAACATCGATGTGTTGTGACATCGATCCCATGCCAAGCGCATAGTGCCCACGAGTGGCTTTGAGCGAAGACTCGGGTTCGTGGCCGCTCGGGTCCCCTGCAATGCACGCGGCTGCTTCTCTTTTTTGTTGCGCTGCGGCACCTGCAGCACCCATGGCAAGCCATGACCTCCAGGCATAACTGCCTTGCGCCAATGTCCAGCCTAGCGGTTGCAATGGATGGTGCTGGCGCAGCCCTCCCAATTGCAGCACACCGGCTGCGCAGCAGACGAACAACTCGCATCAAGCAGCTCCAGGTGTTCGCATTTCTGCCATGTCGCGAAGACAAGTCTATGTGCCGCTTCAAAACCAGATCCTCCTGATCCAGAACCCGAAATTCTTGCTCCAAATTGATTTCTTCTTCGAGTTTACGTGTAGTAGACCCTCGTTCTCAATCTTCTTCCCCGAGCAAGCAAAATTGCGCTTGGGCTCCAAATCGGCATGTTGCCAGCTAAAGGTGTTCTTCCACACACGTCGCCAATTGCGAAAACCATATTGTTCCTTAGGTTGGTGATCCTCCGGTGGCTGCAATGCGAGCCAGCAGCAAGTACGCGAACGTTGTATGCGGCAGACGAAGTCAGGCAATTGGTCGTCAGCTGCCGCAACTCTCGCGCCAGCAACTTTGGGCAGCATGCGAAGACAAGTTTGGCGGCAGGTGTTTGGCACGTTTCCTCTAAAACGATTTGGTGGAGCCACGAGCAGCGCCTTCCAAAACATGGGGGACGCAGAATAACAATTCTGCAACAAGTCCGAACTCGTCAGGCTACTTGTACAGGTGCCGCTGGGGCGCTTGCAGAATCCAGCGCTGTCGCCACATGCCCTTCGCTCAACGTTTTGTGGCGGGGGCCACTCGAGCGATCTCGAGTGCGCAGCCGCAGCATGCCCGCGACCTTCCGCAAGGCATGGAAGGCAGTTGAAAATGTTGAAATGATCCCACAGTGACAGCATTGACCAACTGCTTACTTGACAATTCAAGTGCGACGGGTTTTGCATTTAATTCCAGCGCGTGGTTTCTGCTTGGTTCGGCCCCGCGCGGTGGGCCACTCCGATGCCACCAACGTCGTGCGCTCTCCGCTGAAGCGGCGATTTGGCTGCAGTCGATGTTGTGGTCATCTTGCGCAGGCGTGTCTTCACTCTCCAAGCTGTACTGGCGCGTGTCCGCGGCACGCTGTGCACGGCCAGGCCTCCAGCTCCTCGCCGATGCTTCGCCGCAGGCGGCACGCTGGAGACATTGCGCGACCTGCGGGATCATTCAGCGCAAATATGCGGCGCTCCTCACGTTCCAGCCGGAGATGCTTGCGAGCTGCCTTTGCACGCTCACCTCTCCACACCACGCCCACCGGAGTTTCGTTGCAGGGCCGCATCCTTGCTTGGGCCGCAACGCTGGCACCGCTGTACTCTTCCCAGCTTTGACGCCTGCATTGCGCCTGCGTGCCTTTCCAGCATGATGGAAAAACACCCATGCTGGTTCTGAGGTCTTTGTCTGGGTATGTTCGGCCGACAGCCGCGGACAGACGCGAGGATACGCCAGAACAACGCCATACAACGCCGCAATACGCACTGCACGGGTCTGCACGGCGCGCGTCCGCGCGCATGCTCCCGTGTCCACGCTAAGGTGGCGGTGTTTTTTGCTTATTATATTTCGTTTTTTGCATTATTTTTTTTTTTCCGGCCCCGTGGCCTGTAGGCAAGCAAGCACGCCAGCAAGCAAGCACGCAGGCAAGCAAGCAAGCAAGCTAGCAAACAAGCAAGCAGCAAGCAAGCAAGCACGGAAGCTTGGAAGCAAGCAAGCAAGCGAGCGAGCAAGCCAGAGCAAGCAAGCAAGCAAGCAAGCAAGCAAGCAAGCAAGCAAGCATGCAACAAAGCAAGCAAGCAAGCACGGAAACAGGCAAGCTAGCAAGCAAGCGAGCAAGCAAGCAAGCCAGAAAGCAAGCAAGCGAGCAAGCCAGAAAGCAAGCAAGCAAGTAAGGAAGGAAGGGTGTGAGCATTGTGTTGCAAATGGCCCCCCACCCCCCCCCAACCCCCCTGCTTCTGTTAGCCGTGCAAAGCGTGCTTCAAAGCCTAAGTACTTGTTGAAACCCATCATGTGAGCATTGTTTGCACCCGCCCCCCCCCCAACCCCCGCCCCCTTTTTCAGCCGTGCAAGGCGTGCTTCAAGGCCTATGAATCTTGCCCCAACCCCCCGTTTGTTTTGTTTTTAAGCTGTGCAAAGCGTGCTTCAAAGCCTATGAATCTTGCTGAAACCCGTCGTGTCAGCATTGTGTTTGCAAGGTGGGGGGGGGGCTGCGCCCTGCCCCAACCCATCCCTTTTTTTGTAAGCCGTGCAAAGCGTGCTTCAAAGCCGAAAAAAAACATGAAGTCACGAATCGCCTGTTTCATTGCGCCGAGTTTTCGGTTTCTCCTTTATTCGAGAGGCCCCTGCCCAAAACCAATAACATGGCGCAACAAGTCGGGCCCCCGTTTCGATACGCCGAGTTTTTCCCCACATCTTTGTGTGGGGTTCTTACTTTTGGACTCTCCAAAACGTGCCGACTAAACTGCGAGGCACCGTTCGTGCCCCTCTGTGGGCTGGACTCCGGCTAGCTGCGGCGCGTGCTTCCCCTTAAGAGGAGTTCCGTGGTTGGAAACTGTTCATGTTGGCCCCACGCATGCTCCTTCATCGCGAGCCGGGCCATACACGCGTTGCCCCCGAGGAGCTCCAGCGGCGATGCGATCTCTTTGGGCGGGGGCTCTGGCCGCAGCTGCTCCACCAGGCCACGCAAGCCGCCCACATATCCCAGTCTGCCCCCAGGACTATGCAGCCCGAGGATGATGGGAGGGCGGCCACGCCGTTGCCTTGGTGCACTTGGGGGAGCTCTCTGCTGCAGCCCGCGCTCTAGTTGCGGAGCCGCTCGCGCCGGGCACAGACGCCATTGCGCGATCCTGGGCGCCGACCCGCCGAGCCGTATGCTCCCCTCGCGCCCGAAGTTATGGCCTTCCAACCTGTTGAGGCATGCCCGCTCCCCGCGACGCAACTCTTTGCAGCGCATCGATGCGCGCGCCGGGGAGCGGAGGCGGACCCCTCCGGGGCCACACATGAATCAATGAACACCTCCGAATCCTCCTCGATGATGAGGAGGATGCTAGGCTCCTCCACGTCGTGGCCGAACGCCTGGCACAAGCTGACATCCCGCCTTCTGCCCTGGCCACGCTCCGTGTTGGCCGCATGGTCGCGCTGCAAAAATCCGGGGTGGCGTGAGGGCCCTTGTTGTGGGGGATGTTACGCATCACTGGTCGGATCCTAGCCCAAGCCTGCGCGACTCAGCTGCAGCAGGCGTGCCTATGCGTGCCTACCTTACCAATTCGGCTTGAGCACAGAGGCCCTTGTATGTGTGTTCAAGGTCGCCACCGAAATAGATCCACGGGCCACCATACTGTCTGTTGACGCGGCAGGGGCCTATGATCATGTTTCACGCGGGGCCATGGGAGGGAGGGGAAGCAGGGCGACCCCTTGATGCCTGGCTTGTATTCGCTCGCTGCCCATCCCGCCCTCCACGCGGTGCATGCCGGACTGCGGGACGGGGAGACCGTTTTTGCTTTCCTCGACGACGTCTACATCGTCGCATCCCCCGAGCGGGTCAGGGAGCTGTACGCTGCAGTCGAGGAGGCGCTGTGGACCCATGCGTGCGTGCAGTTAAACCGTGCCACGACGCGTATTTGGAACGCAGCAAGCGCGGAACCTGCTGACATTCGCGACCTCCAGCCGGCCGGGGGTGTGGTACGGCGGCACCTCCACGTACCTGTGGTGGGACGCCGAGGGCCGGCGCCACGAGATCTCGCAAGGTGACGGCTGCGAGCAGGGAGATGCGTTAGCGCCGGCTCTGCACTCCCTGGCGCAACACGCTGCCCTAGCTGCAGCGCAAGGGCGATTGCAGCCGGGGAAGTTCCTTGCCGCTTTCTGGACGACTTGTATCTCGTCACCACTCCAGCTCGCGCCCGGTCAGCGCTAGATGATGTCAGCACGGTCGAGCGGCAGGCTGGTGTCGCAGCTAATCTCGGGAAGACTCGGGTCTATCGCGCAAGTGGCTGGCCGCCGCCGCCCGATATCGCAGTGCTCGGACCCGAAGTCTGGTGCGGAGGTGACAGTGAACCGGCAACTTGCGGCTTTGTTGCGTTGAGCGTGCCGATCGGGCATACGGAGTTCGTGCGATGCACTCTCGCGGCAAGACTGAGGAAGAGCGCCGCTTGCTGCTTGAACTGCCGGAATTGCCTGATATGCAGAGCGCATGGCTGCTCCTGCTCTACTGCTTGCCAGCCCGCGTGCCCAACATGCTCTGCGCACGGTGCCGCCGCTGGACTCGGCCACCTATGCGGCAGAACACGATCGGGCGCTTTGGGGCAACGCTCCACCACCTTCTAGCGGAGCAGGATTCGAGCGGGCGGGTGTGGACCGCAGCGCCAAATCGCCTTCCTCCCTGCCGCATGTGGTGGCCTCGGCCTCGCAAGCGCGGAGCGACTAGCCCCAGCGGCCTACTGGGCGGCTTGGGCGGACGCGCTCCCGGTGATGCTGCAAAGACGCCCAGAGATTGCCCGCCGATATGCGCAAGAACTCGCTCTTGGCGGCGGGTCGACTGCGCCTTGCCTGCGGGCAGCTGCGGAAGCGGGTGACCGGCTGCTTGCCGAAGGATGGAGAGCGCGCCCGGAGTGGGATGCCTTGCTCCACGGGGCGCGGCCGCCGCCTACACACGCCGAGCCTTCAGAGCCTGGAAGTTGGCCACATGGCTGGCAGAAACCGGCAGTTTGCGCACTCAACAAATCCTACCGCGAGCGCCTCCTCTGCAACTTGTCGCCAAGTTCCCGAACACTGCTGCGCTCCCAGGCGGGCGCGCATGCCGGCGAGTGGTTGCGAGCCATCCCCACGGACGAGGGCACGCAGTTTCTGCCGTTGGACATGCAAGTCGCTCTCCGGCGACGCCTTCGATTGCCGCTACCCATGGCATCTTCCCGTTGCGGAGGACATGGCGAGCCAGGGTGCCGAGCCGTGGTGGACCAGCTGGGCGACCATCGCGCCGCCTGTGCCCGGAGTGGGCTGCGGGAAGCCGTCGCCGCAGAGGGGCGGGTGGTCCCCCAACAATGGCTAGCGCGGACCACCGCAGCGGGCGTAGCCCCAGATGACCGGCGCCGACTTGACCTCGTCATTTATGGCGCGTTTCGGCGCGGCGAGGCACTCTGCTGCGATGTGACCCTGGCTTCGCCGCTGCGCGCAGACGGACGCCCGCAGACCGGCTCCTCAGATCGGGATGGGGCTGCCATCGACGTCGCGAGGCGGCGCAAACAACGGCGCTACCCCGAACTAGCCGGTCCGGGCCCGCAACGCCTCGTCGTCCTGGCTGCGGAGGTCGGCGGACGATGGGGGCAAGAGGCGCACGACCTCGTCCGCGACCTCGCGCAACAGCGCTCCCTGCGCGCGCCGAGGGCGCTGCGAGCTGCTGCCCGCTCCGGGAGGGAACGCTGGTGGTGGGGGCAGCTGGGTTGCGCGTTGCAGCGCGCCTTGGCCTCGACGCTGTTGGGCGGTTGCTGGCGCGTGCCGGCGCAGCCGACCGGAGACGAGGGCACGCCGCTTGGTTGGATCCTGGCGCAGTACATTTCGGGAGGGGTTTGGCCCAAGCATACCTATCTATCTATGTATATGTATGTATATCTATGTAAATCTATGCATATGTATGTATATGTATGTATATGTATATGTATATGTATATGTATATGTATATGTATATGTATATGTATATGTATATGTATGTATATGTATGTATATGTATGTATATGTATGTATATGTATGTATATGTATGTATATGTATGTATATGTATGTATAGTAAGTAAGTAAGTCCTGCATGCCCGTAGGCGGCCTCTTAGAGGAGCAGGCAAAGAGCGCAACTTTACATGGTGTCAAACTGCATTTGAGCATGACGTCACGTCAATGTTAGAATCATTCTAAACATCGACGGCTTTTGACGAATCATCTTTGTTCAATTTTCTCAATGCTGTACAAAATCAATGAATGCACCCCGCGCGATGTCAAAGAAATTTGTCACGTACTCAGTCCAACAGGTATTTCCATTGAAACGCGCAAAAGCTTCAAGCTGCGTGTACCAACAATCGCGAGGTCTACCAGGAACGCGAACTCCATTTGGCGACCAACTCATCGCACGCTTCACCCACCTGTTTGCTGGCAACTTTGCCACATGATCCACATGATGTGCGAAATTCCAATAGCCATGGATGCATTTGTAAGACCAGCTCTTCAAGTTTAACGTTTGAGTCATCTGCTGGACATGTTGATTCCATTCGTGCAGTACCTCATGCCAGGGTAACGACCAATCAAGTCCCGAAGGCGGTCCAACCATGATTCTAAGCAATCGTCGCCATTCTGAATCCAGTTTGCGAAGATGATGCTGCCGTACTTTGCGATGCCCGGCACCAAAACATGCAACCGGTGTCACTACAGCTTCGAAAAATTTTACCCGAAGGGCCAATGGGACGTGCTTGTCACATAAAATCCACTTGTTCGCCCAAAAGGCCCGTGCAGCTGCATGGAGATGAAATTCGACATCCGAGGTTTGGTCACCACTCATGGACAACTGACATCCCAACCATTTGTGCGTGCTACCATCACGTACGATGTCAATGTAAGTTTCCTCATGAAGCCACACTCGATTTGGTGGCTGGGCTTGGGTCGTCATCAATTTGGTTTTGGAAGCATTCAATACCAAGCCCACTTGCCGCAAACATAAAATTAGTGAACGCACCATGACCAGAATTAGTTGCAGCGAGAGTGCGAACAGCAAAATGTCGTCAGCGAAGCAGAGGTCCGTCAGCGCCTGCGCGTTCGTTTGAAGTTGAATCCCAAAATTCTGTCCCGTTTGTTTCCAATCACGCATTGCCCACTCCAACACGGCGCAGAACAAACGAGGGCTCAAAACACACCCTTGTCGAACTCCAGCTCAGATCGGAAACTCCTTGCTCGATTCATTTTGCGTCTTCACTTGGCCAACTTGTTCGGAATAAAGACGCTGTATTATCCAGATCATGTGTTGCGAAATGCCATGGTCGCGGAGAGCTTCTAACACAGCAAGTGCATCGTCTCCGTAGCTACGCTCCAAGGCCATGCACGGTTGGCTTTCAAACTGCAGAGCAGGACACGCAGTGGCCTTTCTCGCACAAGATGATGTAGCGTGTACTTTGGCTTTCTCTCCTGCAAGCTTCCTATGCTATCTGAAGGGAGTGCAACAAACCACGCAACATGTTCCAGCCCTGAGCAACCGCCTTCATATTCCATGCGCAAGAAATCCAAAAGAAAGAATGAAGGCCATCACCATGCGTGTTAGCATCGTGCTCCATTCAACCGTGCTATGAAAAAGCCATGCCACAACATTTGCTATCTGCATCGCACTGCCCAACTACTCTTCCATACACTTCCGATACACATGACAACTCCATGAGGCCCTTTCCCCTCTACCCCCGCCCCTTCCCGCCTTTCGGCTTTCTGTCGTGGTCGGTTTATGTCAGTTTCCTATGCCAACCGAAAGTCCCCTCCCTCCCCTCACCGGCTCTGCTGTCTTTTGCGGCACCCCATGGATGGACCTGCTGCGGCTTGCTCCGCCCAGCTCTTTTACCAAAACCTAACAAAGCTTCTTGTGCACTTACTTGTACTACATGCTGTAGCTGGGCATCCGTGTGCGTGAAGTGTTCCACTCGGATGTGTGAGGCCGGCGAACGGTGGGTGACGCTAGAGGGCTTCTTGGGAGTCAAGAACGGCGAACACTTCATGATGGCTGTTCCAGCTCGTGCAGAATGTATTCGGGATGTCTTTGAAACGTATTCGAAGGTGCGATAACGTGCGCCTTAGGACACACTGCTGCGGCTCCTCGAAGCGTCTGGCGCTCTTGATTTCACGTCGGCCCATCAGGCGCTTGAACCTGCCATGGCCAAAGTCTCCCGTCACGGACAGACACATGATCGAAAATGCATCAACGTGGGGAGATGGCTTCTTCATGAAGGTCTTCAGCTCGAAGAACTTGCTGAGCAATGGCCTTGGATTGACCCCCGTGGAGCACGTCCAAACTTGCAACAGCTGCAACCACGCTGAAATACTAGAAAGGCCGAGCACCGTGCTCATGCCTCGGAAAAGCGATATCCTTCTGGTGGTAGTATGTCTTGCCACAATGCTTGCCAATTTACTGGGTCAAATGCTTTGGAAAGAGCAAGACTTAGCACCCAAATGGGCACACCATATGCTCTGGATGTATCAATAACGATGTTTGTCGTCAACAGATGTTCCTCCAGACGTCGATTCTGTCTGAACCCATGCTGTTCTTCAGGTTGTCCAACTTCTAGCAGCGGCTCGATCCTACATAACACCATATAAGAAAAAGTCTTATAGAGCAACCGCAATGTGACGATCGGCCTGTAGTCAGTCACCAGCTTGGCCTTCGTAGATTTGGCCAACATCTTGAAAAATGTTTTCTTCCATGAGGATGGGACTTCGCCCGTAGCAAGAACATGGTTGTAAAGGTTTAATAGCACTTCACGAAATGCAGGAGGTGTGTGATGCAAAAGTTCAGCGGCCAAACCACATTCATCACTGGCTTTGTTGGACTTCAGGCTGTGAATGGCGGAATCTAGCTCCCGCATCGTGAATGGTAGCTCTTCCAACACCGATGGTTTGGTTGCCTCGACATTGGTGCCACTGAAAATATCTGACAGCATCTCTGCGAAATCATCAACAGGGGGCATGGTCGAAAACTGTTGCGGAGTCATGTGACATGTGCGAAGTGTTTTCCAGTTTTTGGCGGTACGCAAAAGCTCGGCACATCGTCGCGATTTCCACGTCGACAATTCTTTGGCATGAACCTTCCGGATTTGTAAACTCAAGCGTCGCTTCTCCGACACGCATAAGCTTGTTCTGCGTGCGTGTCGCAGATCTCTCAAAAATGGCGAGGGAATGAATCTCGGATGCTTATGTTTGGAGCTTCCTCCTTTCAAACCAGCATTAAATAAAGCTGCCTCAAGTGAATCGAAACTTGGCTCCACGGTTGTAGCTGTCCACCGGTTCAATTCCTCATGGTAAATGGACGAAATGCGAAAGTCATTTAAATGTGGCGACCACCCCTTGAAGTTCACCCGCCGTGGCTTGTGTAGGCGACCTTTGCGAATCGGGATCCGGAGCACGCAATGAACACATCTGTGGTCGATGCCGATCGGGATGCAAAAATCGTTGCAAGCTCGCTCGACTTCGACGACCAAGGGACCGAGCAAGAAATCAATTTGAGTTCGCATGCCATCAAGATACCGTTGACATGTCCATCCATCACGAGTCTGGTTTTGTGTCATGCGGTTCAGAAGCTGCAGGTTCTCATTCATGATCCATCGAACAAGCATGGACCCCCGATCATTTCGGTTGCCTTCACCACATGGCCCAACATGCTGTTCGTCATCATGAGCTTGAATTGCTCCAACGCATGCGTTGAAATCACCTCCTAAAATAACCATGGCGTTTGAACTGCGTTGACCTTCCAACAACAAAGATGTGACGCCATAGAGCTCCTCGACGGCTTCAACAGGATCCCAACATGTCGGAAAGTAACACGACAATACATGGAACATGCGGCCAGCCATTTGGAAACCAGCATGCATATCCGCGGAGAGATCGCCTGAAAAGAAATATTGCTCATCTGCTTGTGCATACGCTTGGACACGCAAATGCCCATGCCTTTGCTGCAAGAGCCACCACTTAAATAAAGCACATCACCGTATGGCGACCTTACAGCCTCTTCCGATTCATCTCGCCACGTCTCACTCAAAAGCAGGATATCATATTTGACACGATCAAGCTCAATCAAAAAGTCTTCAAACCTCGACGGCTCTCTGATGCTTTGCACATTTTTTGTGATCACATGTACATGAATGAATTCATCTTGCTTGTGTGTGGCCCTTGTTGCACGCTTATCGGGAGCAACCCTCCGTTGGTGCATCGCCACCCCCTCTCCCTACTCCATATCGCCGATGAACTCCTCGAGCGCTACCCGAACTGGTTGTAGTTCGACTCCATCGTGCAACCAGTTCACACTCAAGTCGTCATTGATGTTTGCAATCGGGACAAGTTTGGCGTTCTCTCGAAGAACGACTTTGTAAGATTTGTAGCTCGCAACGACGTTCTTTGGGCTGTAGCTGCCTAGTTCAATGAGGTATTTCTTCAATTTGCTCACGACCTTCAACCGACGGCGATCTTCACGGGAACGATTTTCAGCGGCCCATAATGTAGCGGCTTGCAATCGCGGGTGCTTCCGCTGCGAACGGATGAACTTCATTGCCACAGCTGGCGATTCGAAGCGAGCAAGTGCTAAAGCAGGCTCGGTGTCCGTGACAGTAACATCGCAAAGTCCGCGTTCGTCATGGAGAACTTCGCGCGCAACAGTTTCCGCCTCCTCCATCGACTTGTCCCCAAACCCCCCGATGACCACTATGGATTTGTCAACATCCTCACGGGCATCATGGCTTTGGAGGTTGCAGTTGCCTTCCAAACGAGCGACGCGTTCTTCGAGTGCTGTTCGCGCTTGTTTCTCGGCAGCCAACTCTTCATGCAAACTTGAAATGGATGCCTCGAACCTGGATGATAAACGATGTTCAACTTCGGATAACTCTTCCCGCATCATGGTCCGCAAGATGGCTATGGTTGCTGCACTCATTTCCAATTGGGTGTTGGCAACCTCCTGAGTGCTCGAAGTGCTCAATGCTCCATGAGCAGGTTTTTGTCGAGATCTAGCATGGGCTTCTTTGTCGGGGGTACCTTCTGGGGCGGACCTTTTGGAAATCACCGGCATGTCCACATCAGCAAAAGTCAGGTACTCTTTCTCAAAGTCAGCGCTAATGTCTTGCCACTGCGCGCCCAAATTGGTGGCTTCCCCGATCGTCCTTGCTGTCTTGTACTTCTCATACCGTTCCCATGCCTTCGACCCTGGTTTTTTGGGATTCCCTTCTTTGAAACACACATTTGTCTCACTACATTGCAGAAGCTTGTTTTGCTCCTCTGACAGCGGCATGGCTCCCAAACCTGCCCTCTACAAGTCGAGGCTTGGGCCTTGAGCCAAAATGGCTACGGTATGTATATGTAGGTATATGTATGTATATGTATGTATGTGTATGTATACATATACACATATATATATATATATACATTTATATGGCCCGTATACTCATAGGTACCCAGAAAGGGACCCTTCTTCAGGGAACCTGGTCGCTTTGATTGAGGATCCTCGGCGAGTCTGCAAGTCAAAGCCCCATAATTTAGATGCCGGCCTTGTCCAACTGCCTGACGCGACACGATTGTTCGGATGCCCCACAGGCCTGTCACCCCTCCACCATTTGCAGCTCTCACCCAGGCTGGCCAAGCGGCCCCTGGCGCAGCTGCTAAATCGGCTTTTCCTTGTGTGCTAAATCGGCGTCCTTGTGTCTGCTGCTCAGGGTTCTGGTAGAAGGTCCAGGTAGTGTCCGCAAAAACGCCCTCGAAGTGCAGAACGCGAAAGTGCAGGGCAGTGGCATCGTTGTACGGTGCCAAGGGGGTTCGGTTAATTGGTCTTTCTGCATGTATGTCGAAGGGGCATGTCAACCAGACTACACCAGACGGCTTCAGTTTCGATTTTCTCTGCGCCCGTCCATGGAGTGTCATTACTATCGCTGCAGAACTTGCCATGTAAAAAAGTTGAAGATGCTGATGTCCTGAAGCTCTGTCACCTTATGCGTCAGTCCCTCGGAGCCCTGGTCAAAGCCCCAGATGAGGAATCCCCGAATCGAAGCCGTCAGGGCGAGCCAAATCCCGAACGCTAGGCCGTTTGTGGCTCAAGATACGGCACGGGCCACAGGTACACAGGTAGAGTGCAATCTGTAACACAAAGCTAGGATGAATCAGGTGCAGACGCGCCCCGACAACCAACGAACACCCATATGCCCAAGCAACCTCCACTATGTTCATGTGCTAGCCGGTGGCAAGTTAACATCAACCAGGTATCCCTTCACACCATTCGTAGCCCCGTTAAACATTTACATCACCAGTGGGGCGTTGTATGAACAGCCCAATATCCAAGCTGACGCCAGAATCATGAGCGAAAAACGAAGTGAACTCAAAGCAAAGCTGGAAGGCTACGAGGCGCGGTGCACATGGCTAAATGAGGTTTTTAATGACATTTACACAATTACACCCGCTCACCCACCTATGCGCCGACACCACACCCAGACCCGCGCCCGCATGTACCCACCTGCACCCTCGGGCCCCCGCACCGTCCCTCCCCCCACTCCGGCACACATACCCCACCCACGCCTGCACGTGCATGCACTCTGCACGCACGCGCACCTATCGTGCACCGTTTCCAAGGAATGCATGCGCAACAATTGCGAAGATGACATCATAGGAATTGTTGCAGAGACTTTGCTGCAGTAACCTCAGATGGTTCTCAGGTACATGGCCGAGCATTATTGGACACCACCATCCTTTGTCCACCCCCTCCCCGCACCACCCACACCACACACACCCAGATGTTTTAGGAAGCAGCAGTTGTGGGAGGTGGAAGAAGAACTCAGCAGCAGTGCCTGGTTGCTGCGAGCAGCGGACGCGTCAGCTCCACCCGCCATCTTGGCAACGGAGGTTTTCTTGGAGAAGGAGAAAGTGGCTCTGAAGTTCCTTGGCTGCCTTGTGGCTCATGTCGTGCAAGAAGGGCTTGGAAGTTGGGTCATGCGGCACCCACAAGATATCAAAAACTTCACGATTTGGTGTTGACGGACCTGTTGCTGGTTTTGCTTCCTGTGAGAACAATGCTACGGGACTAAACTGTGTAAGGTGTTGGAGCTATCGGAGCTGACAAAGATTTGGGTCTCTCTCTCTCTCTCTCTGTCGCTCGTTCGTGCGCACGGCCTGAAGATGATTTAGGATTGGACCGATAGTCAAAAGGCCGAAGACTCTGAAGAACACTGCTCGTCATGGAAGCTTGTTGGTCTTTAGCGTGTAAAGAGGACCCTTCCTTTGGAGCCCTGTTCCCTCTATGCCGGCAAACTTGTCTTCATACAACATCACCGTTTTGCATCACGGCTAAAGTGCTTCGGTGAAAGAGCTTAAGCCGAAATTTTTCGCGCGCGCTCGCCACGGAGCATCGCAGACCCGGAACAGAGGACAAAAGGGTCCGGGTCGGGGGTCCCAGCCAAGACCAAGAATTATCGCGTGTCCATCCGCTGGCTTGGGCTCCTATAGCGGAGCAGAGCGACTTGTGTAGTATGCTGACGTTGATGGCGTGGATGCTCTGTTGGCGTGTGGGAAAGTGCCGGTGAAAATTGGTGAAATCAGACGACAAATGAGCTTGGACTGCAACCTCGGCGAATCAGTTACAAGCTCTACAGCCGGCGATGAACACGACTGCGGTCTCGAGTGTTGCTCCATCGGCTCTGCCTTCTGTTGCTGCATTTGCTGCTGGGCGCCGCTGCTGTACCCACGAGGATTCGATGGAGCGCCACCCCGCCATAATCACAAAGCCCCCGGATCATTAGCCCGTGACTAGGATCGCACTGTAGGTCGAGGGCACTGATACCCGACCGATACCTCCTGAAACATGAAAAACACCGCTGGAGGAGAAAATCGCTTGCTCACATGCGGCCATGAGACAGCGAGTCCTGCATCACCCGTGGTGCCCAATGGCGTTGGGGCTTTCACGCCCCTGCGTGCAATACAACCACTCGCAGTTGTGGACAGCTCCGGCAGCTCTGCGCAACGAGAGGTCCAATTGAGAGCTTCAAGCCCCGCCCCGCCCTGGCATGCGGAACACGCTTTTCAGAGATCGAGAGTCTTGCGACATGCTTTGCGCCCATCGGCATTTCAGTTCCAGCAGTGACAGCAGCAGCCAGGCGAAAAAATGCAGCAAGCAGCTCTTTTTAGCAGCCGCGTCGTGCACTCCAGTGTGCAAGCTTCTCGACAAGTGTTTGGGTCCTTCTTCTGCTGTCTTATGTGCACCCCATGAAGGCGGCGGCAGGGATTTGTCCGCAACCAACTTTGGGCCGGGCAATGGACTTCAACGTAGGGGTTTGACAACGCCTCATGTCCAGACGCCGCAGTCATCTGAGGGACCACCTAGTCGACCTTTGCGGCCGTGTGGTGTTCGCAAGCCGCTGTCGCGGCACGACGCGTCCTTTTTGGGGTCTCTGCAAAGTTGAATGCGCAAGTCTTGCCAAGTCAAGGGGCGGGGGCTCGGACGAGTCGGCAAGGAGGTCGCACTCACCCCATCAACTCCCCCTCCCTCCCTCCCTCTCATTCCTTTACCAGAACCCCTGCCCAGATGAAGGGACCGCAGTCCTTTTTCAAATCAATGGAGAACAATCCTTTTTAAAAGCAAGGAGGGGGGTCGAGTTCAACATTTCAGAACGATTGAGATGATTCAAACACTGGAGCAGGCTCGCCGGCGAGAATCTGCGAGATGCGAGGGAGGGAGGGAGAGAGAGAGAGAGAGAACGAGACTGAAATTGCTTTCCAATTTGTTTTAGGACTTTCGGATGGTCCATCAGGCCACTCGTAGATTTGACTACAATAGAGACACAATGGTGTCATGCGCGCTTGATGCCACCAATAGCATGGCGGCTAGGAATGAATAGGTCGCCTTTTTCTTTCGACAAGCCCCTGACATTCTTGGCATGGCATAAGTTCGCAGCATGTTGATGGCCCTGGCACGTTTAGGTCACTTCTGGGAAAGGCTTTGGCGTCCGAGGGTGACGAAGGATGGTTTTGCAACGACCGCTACCACAAGCAGATGACAAAGGGTGCTGCGGATGTGTGCGTGGAGGCAAGCTGCTTTTTTTCTTTGGATTGCTTCTGTCATGGTGCTGTTATAAGGTTCTTAAGGGAGGGGGGTTCATGGGGGGTAGGTACCTAGAGAACCTCAGGGAAGCTTAGGGAGGAGTGGGGAGCATTAGGGAACATTGGGTTACATACCCCCTTTGAGCAGCTGCCTAATGTGTTATATGGCAGCCCGTGCGCCACTTAATGCTTGCCGGCTGTTAGAAATGCTCCGTGAGAGGTCATTGTTCCGGCCACGGACAAAGATATTGTGAAGAGGCGGAAAGCGGTGTTGCAGCGGGTAGGTGAAACACCTGCCTTGTACACAACCGTCCCTTGGACTAGTACGAGCAGCCTTTTCTTCCTGGTTTTCAGTAGGGAATGAGAAAATTTGGGCCCGAAATATTCCCTTTTAAGGGATTAGAAATGGTACGTCATTCCTTCATTCCCTCATTCTCTAGTAAGAACCAGCCTTTTTGTGTTTCTGTTTGAAAGATGTTCTCATTTGCCCCCTGTGGGAGAAAATTGGGATTTCCAACGACCACCTGAGAATTAGCTCTCCCCGAAATCAAGGGTCGAATGTGGCAGCTTCCAGACTATAGAATTTTTTGTTGAATTTCAACTGAATTTGAATGAATTTTAGTTTGGTGTGATGCAGCCGCTCAGATGCACACGTTTAACCTTAGTGATTTTGAAGACCCCCCCGGTGTGTGCAGGGTCCGGCCAAAAACTTCGTGTGTGTGGGGGATGTCAAATTCTCGTATGAAGGGATTTCTGGATGCAAGTTCTTTCCGAAATACGAGAGGGGTCAGCAAAGAAGTTGCATGTCCTTTAGCCCGCTACTGCAACTTGTGGTAGCACAGCGCAACCATCAGGAAATACTACGGTTGACGAATGGGCCTTCCCGAGGTTATACTTCAGACAAGCGTGTCAGTGCAATGTAACAGGATGTGGTATTCTTGGAGAGATTGTTCAAATACATCTGCAGGGATCGCAACACAACAATTCTTCTGCTAGCTGGTGTCCAGGAAAGCCCTTTTGGCTGTTTCGAGGTCATCCACGGGGGATGTACAGGAGATACTTTCCTCGAGAAACAAGGTGACCATTCCCACGTTGGTCAGCGGCGCTGAGAAGCGTGACACTTGGGTCGCCAACATCATCAATGGACAATCAGAGCAGGAGAATGTTGTCACAGAATTGTCTGGATGCTCGGCTCGCACATCTCCTTATTTTGGTGCATCTGTTTTTTGCTATGATGCATATGAGGGTTAACGATATTAAGGGGTGCCTTATTGGGGTCCGTAAATTATGAGGGGATCCAACTATTTGGTGGTCAATTTCGGGGCCTCTTTTTTGTCGGAAACCTCACGTGTCATCACATTGCCATATTACATAAACGACCCTCCCAGCACGGACAGGTAGCCGACAAAGGTTGACAGTCTTTCAGCCCCGGACAGCCAGTCTCAAGTTTGATGTCTCTGGCTCATGGTGGCTGCGAGGTTCAGGGTTGAGGGATTAGGGTTTAGGGTTGTCATTGCCTATAGCCTGGCAGCAAGGAGTCCAGATGCAAAAAGGGTTTAGGATTGAGGGTTCAGGGCTTAGTACTTGGGGTTTAGGGTTTAGGGTCATTGGAGAATGATGTGTAGAGACTGTCCATTGCCAAGACTGGCCTCCCGTTTCTGGTTTTCCTGTATTAAAAAAACGCCTGCTTACACAGAGAGTGCCTTACGGAGCCAATAAAGACTTGGATGGAAGCAGAGCTTCAGGGTACCTATAGCCGCAATTATACCTGTAATTTCAGCCCCCTCTAGGGCAAGTCCCCGAAGTAGGTTATAGGTAGACTTAAAACTGGGGTTAGAAGTACCTCCAAGTAGTTGTGTTTGACACCGAGCTTCTAATTTTGACACCCGAGATTGTTGCCCCACATGCTTCAGTTGGCATAACAGGTCCTGTGTCCCACTTAAGCAACTTGCTTCGACTCCGACATTCCGCGCTGTGGGCTGTCATCCTTCTTTTCCTGTCTTGCAAGCGGCCGCCACCTGCACTGGCACCCTGCTGTTGTCAGGAGATGGATTGATGGTGGTCAAGGATTACAAGTGGCAGAAAATGGATGTTGTCACCAAGCTGCATCACATACTTAGGAGCAGGATCCTGGACTAGCTCGGACAAGCCAAGAAGAGGAGAGCGGCTAAGTCTTCTTGAAAGTGATGTTCACTAGCCACCGGCACTGCAGGCGTCAAGGAGATGGGTGCTTTTTCCAATCCAAAGGGAAAATCATCACCTAAGGTCGATGACTTGTACTACTTGGCTCTATTCTCCGACTTCTCCGTTCGATCCTTGCGAGACCTGCGTGGTGAGCACTTGCCCCTCTTGAAACGGATTCAGCAAACGGTGCTGAGCGGCCTTGCGGTGAAGCATGGTGTTGCTCCATCTGCTTTGTTGGCCTACGTGCCTTCGGCCGAATGCGGAACCTTGTGGCCACGTGGTGAACTGTCTGTTCTGCTTTGTCCTGTTTTGATGGTTTGCTTACAATCCTCCAGATATTATCCTTAAACTTTCCTTCGGAGAGGTGCACTACCACCCCACCTTCTGGTACTTCCATGTCCACATCGTAAATTGCAAGCATGCAATGTTCCAGAGCGACAAAACCTCTGAGAATTTGCTGCTGACTGCTATGGATCGCTACCACAAGCTTGACACCATCATAGCTTTGCTCGAAGCCAAGCCGAATTACTTTGAGACCGCGGCTCTCACGATCCTCGTATCACCGCAGAGGGCTGAGGCGTACAGCGGGAAAGACGCGGAAGGTTCCTAGGTGAGCGGAGTCTCACCACAGTCGCCGAGGAGCCAGCGTCACACTGAAAGCCTGAAAGGGTTTCCGGTTGCATGGTCGCCATTTCTACGGTTCTCAGAGTTCTCAGCCTGATGACTGTCGTTGTTGAGCTGGGGGTGGTTTAGTCAAGCTGTTGTTCTGGAGCTATTGTTGTAGGGTGTTTGCTGTTGCGTCGGCTGCTGTTGCTGCTGTTGCTTTGGTGAGGGCAGTGTTGCCGTTCTTGTAGAGTCACATATGTTTGTCGCGCCTGAAAATCCCTGTTGGCCAAATACTTGCGTCACACCCCATCCTATTTCTGCAATCAGTTTGTTCGAATGCGTACGTCAAATTCTGCCGCGTGGCTTTGGAGCCACTGCTTAGATTCATGAGGCAACGAAGACTTTGCATGTTTTGGCTTCCAGAAGTAGAAGTAGCATCGAACCTGGTCGAAGCGACGCCGAGCCCTCGACATGTACTCCGTTATTGCTACACAGGGTTTAGGGTTTAGGGTGTAGGGTTTAGGGTTTAGGGTGCGGTAAAAGTATATTGACTGTGGGTGCGAATCGCGCTTGAACGTGTTATCGACTCAGGGCCATGGAGCTGTGCATAGAGTACTCTGTGTCTTGGCGAAACACAGACGCTGCTTGTGGCTATGCGTGCAGGTCTTTGTAGGTGACTGTTCAACTGTGGGCGAGCACAGCGATTGCTACAGAGAGACAGAGAGATAGAAAAATTGAGAAGGAGAGAAGGAGAGAAGGAGAGAAGGAGAGAAGGAGAGAAGGAGAGAAAGAGAGAAGCAGAGAAGCAGAGAAGCAGAGAAGCAGAGAAGCAGAGAAGGAGACAAGGAGAGAAGGAGAGAAGGAGAGAAGGAGAGAAGGAGAGAAGGAGAGAAGGAGAGAAGGAGAGAAGGAGAGAAGGAGAGAAGGAGAGAAGGAGGAGAGAAGGAGAGAAGGAGAGAAGGAGAGAAGGAGAGAAGGAGAGAAGGAGAGAAGGAGAGAAGGAGAGAAGGAGAGAAGGAGGGAAGGAGAGAAGGAGAGAGAAGGAGAGAAGGAGAGAAGGAGAGAAGGAGAGAAGGAGAGAAGGAGAGAAGGAGAGAAGGAGAGAAGGAGAGAAGGAGAGAAGGAGAGAAGGAGAGAAGGAGAGAAGGAGAGAAGGAGAGAAGGAGAGAAGGAGAGAAGAGAAGGAGAGAGAAGGAGAGAAGGAGAGAAGGAGAGAAGGAGAGAAGGAGAGAAGGAGAGAAGGAGAGAAGGGGAGAAGGGGAGAAGGGGAAAAGGGGAGAAGGGGAGAAGGGGAGAAGGGGAGAAGGGGAGAAGGGGAGAAGGGGAGAAGGGGAGAAGGGGAGAAGGGGAGAAGGGGAGAAGGGGAGAAGGGGAGAAGGGGAGAAGGGGAGAAGGGGAGAAGGGGAGAAGGGGAGAAGGGGAGAAGGGGAGAAGGGGAGAAGGAGAGAAGGGGAGAAGGGGAGAAGGAGAGAAGGAGAGAAGGAGAGAAGGAGAGAAGGAGAGAAGGAGAGAAGGAGAGAAGGAGAGAAGGAGAGAAGGAGAGAAGGAGAGCAGGAGAGAAGGAGAGAAGGAGAGAAGGGGAGAAGGGGAGAAGGGGAGAAGGGGAGAAGGGGAGAAGGGGAGAAGGGGAGAAGGGGAGAAGGGGAGAAGGGGAGAAGGGGAGAAGGGGAGAAGGGGAGAAGGGGAGAAGGGGAGAAGGGGAGAAGGGGAGAAGGGGAGAAGGGGAGAAGGGGAGAAGGAGAGAAGGAGAGAAGGAGAGAAGGAGAGAAGGAGAGAAGGAGAGAAGGAGAGAATCCAACAAACATGCGCAGTTCTACTATGGAGAGCGCGCGGCCAAAAATGTGGCCGAGCGTCCCGAACTCAGCGTTTGGAAGCCGACCTGCGCATGGGAAGGCTGCAACACATGTGTGATCTTCCAGGCCCCGTCCCAGTGGCAGTGACCACAATCACTGCAAGTGTGGGCTTCAGATGGCCCTGCCAATGGCATGCTCAGGATTTATACTTGGAGGTTCATGGGTTCTTCTATAACCCCAAGTACATCAAGTACAAGTCTACTTATAACCTACTTAGAGGACTTAGGGGGCTTACAAGTACAGTTTGGGGTTATGCGTGAACCTCCAAGTAGGGTTAAGGGCGGCTGACTTGGCGCACCCCGAGGTTGCTTGCTTCTGCTACTGCTCGGCCCAGCGCAAGAAGGTCGGGTTGTGCAGACGAGCACGGGAGGCGGAGCTGTTGTCGTCGCCGGGGCCCCAGCCCGAGCCCCCATATTTGGGACAGCTTCTTTACTTTAGGCTACAAGTATCAATCTTCGATGTTAAGGACCAGCAGCAACCTTTGCAAGGGCCTGAGCCTGGCGACCACGTAGGGCAACTTTTGGGGGTGGTGGTTGTCAAAAAGCCGTCTGGCCAGCAGGTCACCGCTGAATGTGGTTCCGCCAAGGCGCGCATCTGTTGCCTCACTCCTTGTCTTTCGGGCCCGTGCGCCCGTGCTGGTGACGAAGGGGAAGCTGTACGGTCATGTCATGTCACTCACTTGTCCAGCCCTCTCTGTAGGCAGCAAAGCAGCTTTGATCGTGCCGGCCTCAAGGACAGCATGCTTCTTTGAAGAAGTGGAAACCCTGTCAATGAGAGGCCGAGGCATGATGGCAGGGATAAACGAGGATCCGCATTTGCAGTTTCCCCGGACCGTAAAGACGTGCATGCCTGTGCTGGCTGTGTGAAGCAAGCAGCTGACTTCAATGTGGACCTGGGCAGGACCAGTTTGGGAGAGGAGGCGAAGCAGGCATGGATTCGCAACAAGATGAGCTCTATCAGGCAAGCTCCCGGATAAGTCCGGATCGTTATCAGGACTTCGCAATGCTTGACCATGGATCAGGGAAGTCCAGGGCCAGGGCCCCCCGGGCGACCAGCCACTCAACAGGGCTGGATGGCAGTGATGGCAGGTTTCAGAGTGATGGCCATGTGGAAGAAGAGCCAGAGCCGGGTAGCGCAAGCATTCCGAGCAGCGGAAGCCTTGCGGATGAAGGTGAAACCACCATGGCTGAGAATTCCAGGGGGAGGGCCGACAGGGCTCCAGCTCCTTCTGCTGAAGAAGCAAATGACGAGGCGACGGAGGCGACGGAGGCGACGGAGGCGACGGAGGCGACGGAGACTACAGAGCAAGCAGAGCCAGAAGAGCAAGCCGAGCCAGCTGGGGACCCACAGGAGGAATCTGCAACAGAACGCGAGCCACTCTCGCAAGGGTATGCCATGCTTAGGTCCAAAGGGGCTCAAGTCGCGAATGGCGTGGAGGAGAAGTCCAGTACTCAAGACGAGAGATTTGCTGCAAGTTCGGAAAGCAGGGCCAGCGACATGCTCAGCAACGACGCACCATCAAGCCTGGGCGATGCGGTTGCAGCTCCATCAGATGGCGGCCAGAGCAGCCACGTTGAGGTTGATGAGCCTCTAGCAGCAAGTAGCCAAAGTGCAACCGAAGGCGCAGCGGCAGCAGGCCAGAGTGCGCCGGCAGAGGGTGAGGAGGAGGATCTACAGACCAAAGTGCAGGACGAAGCAACCGGTCAAGTCGACCAAGTCAGAAAGGGGCCCGACCATTCCGAGTCGGAAGGCCAGAGCGCTGCTGCCGAGGCAGATGGTTCCGAGGAAGCAACTGGTCGGGCTGAACCGGCCGGATCGCTGTCCAACTCTGCCGAGGCGGAAAGACAGAGTACTGCGGAAGAGGCTGAGGGCGCCACCGTCGAGAAGGCGAAGGTGACGGGTCAAGCTGATGAGACGCACACACTCGACGATCATGCCACTGCTCAGAGCACCGAAGAGGTCGAAGCGCCCGACGAGGCTCGGACCCACACCCAGGAAGAGACACTTTCCAGGGACTCCACTCCTGAGTCGACAAGCCCCAGCAGTGAGGAGGCACCGCAGACCAGCTCGGAGGAGCCTCAAGCTGGCCACACACTGCCTGAGGTGAAGAGCCAGGGAACAGCAGCCAATGAAGACGGTGAGCAGGAGCCCCCACGGTCCAACGGGGAGGAAGCCACGGGTCAAGCTGACAAGACCCAAACCCGGGGCAATGCTCTGGTAGAAGGGAGTGCAACTGCCGAGGGTGAGGCAGTGACTCCCCAGAGCCCTGTGGAGGAAACGACAGCGGCCGACCAAGCTGACCAGACCGAAGCAAAGCCCACTGCTGTTGAGCCGAGGACAGACTCAGTGGCGTCTGCCGGAGCAGAGCAAGTGGAGCAAGCTGAGGTGATTGGCGATTCTCCTCCCCAACGCCAAAGCGCAATCGAGAAGGGCATAGTCGAGGAGGGCGCCCCTGAGCAGCTTGGCGAGAGTGCCAGCCCTGCCAAAGTCATGGAGGGAGCCGAGGCTAGTAACCTCGAAGTGCGTGGCACGAGGCCTGAAGATACTGGTGCGGCATTGCCTGCCGAAGGGGAAGTGAGTTCAGAGGCGCCGACATCACGAGGTGACCAAGCTGAGCCCGTTAAATCCGTCGAGCCAAAGGCTGCAGAACTCAACGCAGTGGAAGCTGCAGCAGTTGCGCCAGAAGCGGCAGCAGCTGTGCCCACAGAAGCCGAGGAACCTACCTCAACGACTGCGGCTCCAGATGCTGGGATTGTGACTGAGACCATCACTTCAGAGAACAAGCTGCATGCCAACACCTCTGTGGGAGCGAGTGAGGAAGTCAACTACAAGAGAGAGACAAACAAGAGCAACACTGCGGAGAGGTTGGAGACGAGCACTGAAACAGTAGTCACACAGTCGAGCAATGTCCAGATCTTGACGGATTCGGCCTCAACAACCGTGGAGACACCGGAATCTACAAGCAGCGTGACAGCGCCGGAGAACCCTCCGCCCGCCTCCCAAGACAATGCTACCGGTGCAGACTCAGACAAGCAGACAAGCACGACAAGCCCAAGCAGCGAAGAGCAAGCCGCTCAAGCTTTGCCCTCGCCAGACTCACTAGACAAAGAGCCAGCAAGTGCTAGCGGAGCGGCAAACGAATCTCAGCTTCATGCTTCAAGCCAGCTTGAGGCAGCAGAAGCTAGACCATCCTTGAGAGGGAGCAAGAAGCCTGTCAATGCAAGCTTCACAGAACCGGGCGTGAGTAGCAGTTCGCCTGAGAGCGCAGGGGAAGAGACCTCGCACACACCAGCGGGCCTGCAGCCAGCAAGAAGCGATGCAACGGCAGGTGACCTTTCGGAGAGTAAGCCGGTTGCCAACAATTCGAGGTCGAGCTTGCCCACAAGCCCCGACACCCTTGTAGAGACATTTGCAGAACAAGAAGCTCACCAAACAACAGACAGTCCGTCCACATCCGTGCTACAAAGAAGCATCGCTGCACTCGACGGCGAATCTAGCACATTGGTGCATGCTGCCAGCGAGAGCGTTCAGAGCTGACTGACATCAGCACGCAGCAAGTGGAGGGGTGGCACTACCCCACCAGGCAACCCGCAGGTCGTGGTCTCGAAGGGAGGAGATGAGCGCAAAAGGGTGGTTAACGACCACTCTGTCTCACCACTTGCATGGCTCGGGTCAGCAAACAAGTGAATAGATGTAAATAGTATCGTCGCTGCTCAAAAGTGGTAGCGGCATGCATGCGAATCCGATGCAAAGAGCAGTTGGATAGTGAGAAATGCAAAAGATTGCGTCGACCACGCTTTCTGCTTTTCATGCTGATCCCTTGGTGTTGCTCCACACGTTTCTGGAAAGGAAGGACGTTTTCTGGCTCATGGCCAGTACATGCTACATCTCGAACACTCCATCTACCGCACACAGCTGTTTATGATCAAGGAGGACCAATGCCGGGTCACCTCCCGCAAAGAAGTTCATGTTGCCGCAGTACATGTGCTGCATATGTAGGTTGTGCGGCGTATGCAGCATCTGCCAGAACATTGCGATACACAGCATGCAGCGCGTTGCAACACCAAGTGTTTCACTTGAACATGCCCGAATGTGACAGAAAGCACGCGACGTTCTATTTCGGATATCGCTCCTGGCCCCATGCAAATCGCAGCTATGCTTTTGTGACACTTGCTGTTCGTGCAGTGCTCGGATTTCAAGAGGTCAACACATCAAGACATTTTCTGCAACCCTAAACCCTAAACCCTAAACCCTAATCCCTAAACCCTAAACCCTAAACCCTAAACCCTAAACCCTAAACTCTAAACCCTAAACCCTAAACCCTAAAGGCGGTGGAACCGCGAAGCACTGCTGGCCTTCTCAATGTCCTGCGCCCTCATTGCCGTGGTCTCAGATGAGCAGTTAACTGCCAATACTTGTATAACCTGAAACATATACTAGATGCTATATATTATATATATATATATATATATATATAAAACATATACACATATTGTGTGAAGGGTGCAAGTTTCGGCTTGCGCGCTGGCGTTTCTTTGGGCTGCCGGGAACTTCCAGGATTCTAGTAGCTCGCGCGCAGGATTAGTGTCGCCAATGCTCTTACCCTCTACATCCTACGGCGCTTCACCGTTGAGCTTCAATCTTAACTGGCCCCCCCAAGACTAAACTCCAAGTGGACGCGCAATTTGGCTCAGCCAGACCTGGCCGGAACAATGACTAATACAACCCTAAACCTTAATCCCGAAACCTCTAATATTCCTAAAACTTCAAAGCAAAAACAATTGGAATGAAAGCAGGAGTGGCACCGAAAGAGGCGAGGTGGTCCAAAGCTCTGCCCTCTCGAGCCGCGCGCTTAATATTGGGAACCTGGATGTGTGTTTAGAAAATTGGGGGGGGGGGGTTGGGATCCCTAAAATAGCACCCCCCAAGAGTAGAGTTCCCTTGTAACAAGGACCCCAATAAGGTGCCCCGAGTTTCGGGAACCTCCGGATAGGAAGCCTTCTTCATGACTGTCGCTAGAGGCGCTAGTGCCCCGGTCCCCAAATCAAGTTGGATACTTCCAAGACCGGACACGGCATCAGCAAGTCAGGTCAGATGGCGAGTGAAAGATTGCACTCTCGTGCATGAGCCCTAGGCCCGAAACTGCAGGCCCCCCTAGGAATTATTTGTTAAGGTTCTAAAGGGAGTATAGTAAGCCAAACCCTAAACCCTCAAGCCCAAACCCCAAACCCCAAACCCTGTTCGGCTGGCACCTATGAGGCGAAATGACAGCACCGACACCCAGTGCGGCTATGGGGCCAGCGTCCCAGCACTTCCAAGCTGCACAGGGTTTAGGGTTTAGGGTTTGGGGTGTAGGGTTTAGGGTTTAGGGTTTAGGGTTTAGGGTTAGCTGGACAGATATTTTCCCCAGGCCTTGGCCCGCGGGCCCGATAAACCCTAAACCCCAAACCCTCTAACCCAAGAATTCAACAAGGAGGGCTATAATCATCATGGGCAACCTTCGTTCGGTAGGTCGAGTGTGCAAAAGCCAACACTCAGTTCAAGGCTTGAGAGGACTGGTAGAAGATGGCTGGAGTAGCACATGTAACTCTACATCATCTACAGCTTAGAAGTACCTCTTTGCAGTAGATGCGAGTAGCAGGCGTAAGCCCCAAAAGTTGTAGTCGAATCGAATCAGAACTCCAACAACCGTCTGCCTGCATGTTTGCATTCGGGGCAAAAGAGAGAGAAGTGTGGCTTTCCCCGGCTTTCCCCATCGAGATTAAGATATGGAAAAGTGCTACAGTGCCCAAACCCCAAAGACAGGAGGTTTGCGAGGTTTGCAGTAGTTTTGTACATAGTACATCATAGAAATCCATCAGATGTCTCCTGTTTTTCCTGCTTAGCAGCTCACAACTTCACATCAAGCTCACGCCCTCACAGAGGCGACGCCGTCGCCGTTACTCTCGCCGCTGGAGGAGGACTCTTCTTTGGGGGACCTGGCTCCAAGGCAGAGATGCCCAGAGAGTCCAATACCCCTTTTATTAAGGAATATACGCGTAGCAGGTATATAGGGACCCTTTATAGCCGAATACACATTCAGAGAAAGAGAGGGTTCTGTAGCATCACGAACATTGAGGTTCGCATGAGGAGGGACAGATAACGACAGTGGTCTGGCACGTGCAAGCGCCACAAGCCGCTGTGAACGACGCGGCCGACAATGCCATCAGATGGCCTTAGAGTTCAGCGGAGAAACGGGAGAGAGACCAGAGCGAGCAGAAATGTATGAGACAGTTCCCGTGCATTTAGCAAATCTCAGCAACAGACCCATAGTTTGGGTGTGCAACCGCTGGGGTACCAGCTCTACTCAAGCCTCTGGAAAGAAAAGAAAAGCCAGAAGCGTGTTCTCAAGAGGGGCAGTGCTAACCGCGAATTGTGACCGGAACAGCCTGGGGAACAAGGACAGATTCCGCACGGGGGCGCACGGGCCCTTGAACCTCTTCTCCCCGAAGGAAGGAAAGAGGAGGGAGGAAGGGAAGAAAGGGAGAGTAATTAATGCCAGAATGCGAGCAAGTGAGTGTGAATAGGGTCGCATAGTCATATCCTTGCGGACCAAATGTGTTCACGGTTCATATACCTTACTAAGAATGTTGTTGTTGTTTCAGGTGTATGCCCTAAACCCTAAATCAAAACTCCCTCCCCCCTGAAGTTTAGGGTTCATTTGGTCCTCAACAGCTTGGAAGGATGTCAATGCCTCGCCAACATCTGCGCTGCGAAAGCTACACAGGGCCCGCTCCTGAATCGCTGCTTAGGGTTGGTTCTCAGAGACTGTATTTTCCCGGGATCTCGGTCACGAAGGCGGAACTCAAAACCCTAGTCGAGCAAGAAAAAGGCAAGATCCGAAAGCCTCCCGTACCCCACAGGCCTGTTCCCCTAAGCCCCGGACGTCTTCCCAAACGCAAGTCGAGGCGTTCCCCTGCAGCCCGGTGGTTTGCCCCTCGCCTGCGGAGTTCAGCCGTGAGGCTGACCTGCACCATGGTGGAAGCTCCGCCCATGAGCCTTGAATGGGCAGCATGTAAGCAATGTAAACTCCACGTACATCGTAGACGCCGTAAACTCCGGACTCTGTGACTGTTGATGCCCAATTCAAGCCGAAAAGCGCTTCGTGGAGGATATGGTGCGAAAGAATGACCGGCAGGCGGACGGTGAGGGCTTGCACGCAGGGTGGCATGTGGGTGTGCTTTCGAGGTCGACAATGAGTACGAGTTCCTGGAAGTGCTTGGGGAGGGCTCCTTCGGCACAGTTCACAAGGTGGGGCGCAACATGGCGCAATTTTAAGGCCATCACCGCCCCGCACCGTGCCCCGCGCACAAGTCTGCAGGCGCGGCATCGTCGTACAGGCATACTTCGAGCCTCGGCCTCAGAGGTCCGCTGTCGGATGTGGGACACGCCTCGTGCCTGCGCAGGCTGTGAAGGAGATACCCCACGCGGGCACAGCAAACGAAGACTTTCAGTTAGAACTCAAGGCTCGTTCGCAGGTGTTCCCCTTGTAGTCTTCGGCTTCCGCACGCCTGGTGCCTGAGGCTCTGCAGGCACTAGACCACCCACACATTGTAGAGGTGGGACACAGAGAGATCACAGGAAGAGGAGAGGCTTCCCAGAACTGGTGCCTTTTTTGGGTACCCTAAATAAGAGGGGCCGCCTTACAAGAAGGACCCCAGAAGGGACCATGGTTTTAGAAAAGTGACCATATGGGCCAAGAGGCAGACCTCAGAAGCAGCTCCCTGCAGGTCATCGAGTACTTCGATGATGCTGCCAATTTCTTCCTCATCATGGAGCTTTGTACAGGCCGGCCACCATGTCCCAGCTCCACATGGAGGTTTCCGAAATTAGGGGGGGGGTACCTTATTGGGGTCCTTACGTTAAGGCGAACCTACTATCTGGGGGTCAGTTTTAGGTTCCCCTAGTTTCGTAAACCCCCACCAGCGCTTTGTGTTAGTAGCTGCTGCTGCTGCTGCTGCGGCCATCGCTGTGCCTGCTTCATGCCTGTCAACTTTCGGCCGAGGTGTCCCTGCAATAGCAAGAACATTGTTCAAAGCGGGGGCCGATCTCGCATTCTGCATTGCAGGTCCTGATGTGTTTACCTATGTGCTGGAGCGCATGGACTCGTCCCCCAGCAAACTTCGAAGCGTCTTTGGTCAGACTTTCAGGGACACTCCTGCAAGCCAGGCCAGATGGCGATGGATTCGTTCCAGAATCAGAGATTGCTGTGATCCTGAGGCCTCGTAGCACCCTGGCAAGTTCTCGGCATGTGGTCGCGCTTCGCGGGTTCTGTCTCGCATGCTTCGTTGCGCATCACCACTCCCAAAACCCAGAACCTTTCTAAGGCTTCTGGGATTTCCAAACCCAAACCCAGCCGCTTGATTGAGTCGCAAGCCCTCGGCGCCCCGTGGCTCAGGGGTTCTGGGAGGCGTTTGGGGCCTTTGTAGTCGGGCCCCATGCCGGAACTGTAGCCCTTCTCTTGCGCAGCGTCATGTGGGACTTGTTCGGGTGCAGCGCTTGCGTCTCACCCTCGATAAGCCAAGATGAGCTGCGGGCTGAGTGTGGGAGTTCTTGCAGTTTAAGGGGTCCGCGGTTTGGGGTCCACGGGTGGGGGGGGGACCGGTTGAAACAGGACACCCTTGTCTTTGTGCCCGTGTTCCGCTTGCTTGAAGAGAGGTCTGTATACTCATATGGCTCGGCCGCCCCGCCCAGCCGCAGCGTTCCGGCCAGCGGCTTACTTCGGTGCCTTTCGGGTTTACATATGTTTACATGAGTTTCTAGTACCAGAGGAGCTCAAAGCTCCTCTGACAGTACTCAGGTTAGTTTGCGGGCTTGGAGGTTGTAGTCTTCGGTTTGGGCTTGAAAGGCCCAGAGCACGTTGTGACGTAAAGCTGTCGGCTCCTCTTGTCCTCCTGAGCTTGCGCTGGTACCACACTTGCATGGTCTTTCTATCGGCGAGTAGAAACCAAGGACAGCGAGATGGGAAAGGCTCTCAAGGAGATGCAGAAGACGCACCCCCTCCTAGCGCAGCCCTCGCACGGCCTGTATGCCATCGTACAGGACCTGGGCAGGGCTTTTTACCCGTCCGGGGCATGAGAGCTTCAGTTATTTAGGCGGGATGTTTCAGTCGGAGGGCAGCTTTTCACCTGTCAGGATTGTGAGACTGCTGTGTGCGACGGCGATGAAGATAAAGCGAGGGACATTCTCGAGCGCCTGGAGCACGAAGTTGAGCTTGAGGCTGCAGTTTGCAGTTGCTTGTTCTTCGTCTTCAAAGCTCAACTCCTGAATCTTCTCAGACCACCACCCTGGCCGCGGCCTTCAACCTTTTCAAGAAGCCTGGCCAGGAGATCCTATCTGAGACGGAGGCACTTTCAGATTGCGGTTTTTGCCCTCTGCTGCCCCCCCCCCCCAGTGCGGTCAGGTGCGAACCATGCTGGAGTACCTCGGCTTCCCGAAGGCCAGGCTCCGGATGTACTTGCAGCATGCTACGCATTGAATCATGGTAGCAATGAAACGCACCTTGCATGTAAGGCGCATTCTGAAAGGCCCCTCTATAAGATACCCTCCGAACCCCAAAGCATGTCGGAGTGGCGCGCATTCGCGCCGACAGGAGGATGAGGATGTGGACAAGCTCCTCAGTGCTGTTGACACTGACGGGGTCGGGGCCTCTGCATTGCTGTGACCAGAACTGATTGAGCTTCGATGGTCCGAAGTTTCTCGATGAAGTAAAAGACTATTGAGATACTTGTTAGCCTCCTTCGCAATGCCGATTGGTCCCCGTGATCTCTTGCATCCTTCCCTTCACCCAACCCTAAACCCTAAACTCTAAACTGGCCAAACACCGCATCCAGGGTTTGTCGTAGTGCCTACACAGACAAACGAACCTTCCCGCCTTGTGCGAGAGTGAGCGACTAAACTGCCTGAACCCTACACCCTAAAGCCCCTAAACCTTTGCCAGGACCGCCAGATGAGCCTGGTAGAGTTCACGCAGTATGTCGCTCGCATGGGCGGGAGCTTGCGGCTTTTCGAGATCCGGCGGAAGCAGATGGAAGCCAAGCATGGGCTGGGAGCCCAGATGAGCCCCAGGTTCCCACAACATGCAGGATTTGGGGTTTAGGGTTTAGGGTTTAGGGTTCAAAAAAGGGTTTAGGGTTTAGGGTTTAGGGTGTGGGGTTTAGGGTTTAGGGTTACTCCTCTGCACTGAGCCTTTCCAAAACATGATTTTCCGAACTCCGAGGCATCGAACGGACGCCGAGTCCGAAGATCCGGAGAAGCTGAGAATGAGCCTCCTGGAGGTCCTGGGTTTCGGGTTTAAGGGGGTTTAGGGTTTAGGGTTTCGGGTTCAAGGGGGCTTAGGGTTGAGGGTTTCGGGTTTAAGGGGGCTTAATGCTTAGTGTTTAGGGTTGAGGGTTTACAGGGTTCAGAGTTTAGGGTGTCGGGTTAAGGTGTTTAGGGTTTATAGGGTTTAGGGTTTCGGGGTTAAGGGGACTTAGTTGGGATGCTGCCCCCTTATACTACCCGTCCTTTATGGGGACGGGGCACTATAATCCCTATTAAGGATTGTTAGTATAACATGTTCCCCAAAAGCTTAGGGTTTAGGGCTTAGAAGGCTCAGGGTGTAGGAGTTTTGGTTTAGGACGGAGGCCCGCTCCACACCGTAATCTGCGGCCTTGGCTTTGTGGTGCCCTGCCATTCTGCAGGCGGGCATCAGAGATGATGCGCAGGCACTGGGCAATTTCGGGCATCAAGTGAACCACGTCTGCTTTTTGGCAGTTGGGTTAGGCATGGACAAAGCAATACGGGCGGTTTGCGAGCAAGAGGTCAGAGGTGTGCGGAAGGATTGCGGAAGCAAGTGGTCCGCGGAAGCTCTTTCGGAAGCTATTGCGGAGCTGTTGTTGCGACCCTGGCAACAGGCCGTGTGGAATTGTCTGTCAGGTGGCATGTGCAGGTGCATTTTCGCAAGTATCCGCGGAACATTCCGCACGCTTCAACACAAGAATTCTATAGTTTCAAAGGGTTAATGTAGTTCCTTTGTGTTTTCTCGTAGATCACAAGTAGTCTCCTTCATGTAAACCAGGAGCGGCGAGTAGTCCACAAAACGCGCGTTTTTCGCTCCGGCCTGCAGTTTCAAGCCCAGGTGCACTTTCAAACCCAGTTCTCGCCTCCAAACCCTGGGACTGGGGCGTAACTATGGAGTGGTGTGGTACGGATCGGCAGCTCCGGAAAAGGTTTTTCATCCACGAACCTTGATTTTTTTCACTACTCGGGACTCAGCTTTTGTGCTTTTTAGTCCTCCAAGACATATACTGCCCCCTCTCGCGGAAGCTCCACGGAAGCAAACATTAAGAAAAGCGCCGCGGAAGCCCGCGGGGAACAACATGGGAATGGAATCAGAGTCCTAAGTTGTAAGGGACAAAAGCCCCTAAACCCTAAACCCTAAACCCTAAACCCTAAACCCTAAACCCTAAACCCTAAACCCTAAACCCTAAACCCTAAACCCTAAACCCTAAACCCTAAACCCTAAACCCTAAACCCTAAACCCCAAACCCCAAACCCCAAACCCCAAACCCCAAACCCCAAACCCCAAACCCCAAACCCTAGCCGGCCCTGTGCTTGCGAGGCCTACTGGCGGCTCGTGGTGCCCCCGACGGAATTCTCCGAGGCAGCCAAGCTCGTCGACTGCCAGAGGAATGCAGTCTGGACCCGAGTTGAGCAGAAGAGAGACCCCAAAAGCCCTAAAAAACCGCATAGGCCCGAAAAGCCCGAAACCCTGATGGAGTCAGGTCAGGCATATTCGCGCCCTCGCGAAACGAAACCACGACGATGCCCTGCCAAAGTTGCAGAGACGGATTGCGGGCCTGGGATCCGGCATCAAGGAGACCGACCTGTGGATGACGCCTCCTGGATGATGGGATGGGGCTTAGAATGCCTCCGGTGGTTTACAGAATGCGGGTTTACGAACATAAGGGGCCCCTAATCTGAACACCCAAATAGTAGGATCCCCTTAGAATAATAGGGAGTAACACCCCCAAACCCCTGAGCTCTGACTCTGGTATTATGCTTTCAGTGCTCGTGCCCGAAGTCCTGAAGTGCACATTGCACATATCCTCCCTCACAACCATATGCTACCTTTTTGATTCTCCTAAACCCTAAACCTAAGCCCTAAGCCCTAAGCCCTAAACCCTACACCCTACACCCTAAACCTTAAACCCTGCTCTTTGGAGGGTCAGGGCTCATCCCAGGCTGGCATGGATCCGTGAGATGGCGCCAATCATTGTGCACGTGGACCTTGGGAAGATGGTCAAGTACATGGAGAGTGACACGCACTACCGCAATCAGCACGGGCCTCGGAGGTGCAGAGCCAGTGTTTCGGGTTTATAAGGTTTGGGGTTAGGGTTTAGGGTTTAGGGTTTAGGGTTTAGGTGTTTAGGTGTTTTAGGTTTTAGGTTTAGGGTTTACAGAGGAGCCTAGTGTTTAAAAAGGTTTTGGGGCTTAGGATTTGGAACTCAGGCTCGGGTTTCTGTGAGCTGTTGCCCACAACAGCGAAGGGTTTCATGGCACCTCTGGAGCATGGTTGCCCGGGGCTCTTCACACATGCGCTCTGTTTTATTCTGAGGTTCTGTTGGATGAGTGATCCAGGTAAAGTATGCGAGAAAGCAAGCAAGCAACAGCGAGAGAGAGAGAGAGAGAGCAAGCAAGACAGAGAGAGACAGAGAGAGAGAGAGAGAGAGAGAGAGAGAAAAAGAGCAAAACCCACAAAAACTGAACCGAGTGGACTGCGCGCGCGGGGGGTCCCCGGGCCCCTCATGCCCCGTAGAAGAAGAAGAAAGAGCGAAAACGTGTGTGTTGGAACCATGGGCGCTTAGTATGGTCCCTTACCCTTGTTTGTAGGGATCCGAAATGGGTGCGGCTCAAATGTCTAGGTATGTAACTGGCTCCCGGGCGTCTTTCCGCGACATAGGGTTTGTAACAAAGCCGTTCTGCTTGCGACAAGCAGTCCGCGACAAACCTCCGCGACAAGCCTCCGCGACAAGCCTTTGCGACAAGCCCCTTCTTGGAACTTCATGCGTTTCGTATCTCTTTTTCAAGACAGCGCGAAACAGCCGCGACAAACCCCGCGACATACGTATGAAACAAGTGGGCGCGACATACGTACGTAACACAGGCGGGTGGCGGGACACCGCGACATACCCCTATTTAGAGCCACAGCCAAATATGGGCCCTTATTGTGTATAGTG